AGTCAGCTTATTGTAAAGAAACATCATTATAAGTAAATATTTATATTTCACCTAAGAAACAGCACTCCTGTGGAGAAATTATTATTACATATATGCTTTACCTCCGCTTGGATAATAAACTCTCCTATGTTTTGTAGCTAGTATAATATAAAGGGAAGATAGCTAAAATGGCAAAACAAAAGTGAGGGTATTTTAGAGCAGTAAACAATTATAGAATTTTATGGAATTTATAATGTATAGCAAAGTTATTGAAAAATGTATCCTCACGCTACAAAAGAGTTGGTTATAACATTTTATATTATGCATGGAATGCTTTAATTTTAGCAAGCTGATGCGTCCTTTAAAAATATATTCATTAGACATTTCACATATCATTGCTGTTATTATGGTTTTGGAGTTCTTTTTTGCTCTCTCCAATTATTGATCACTTTGCATTAATAATAGCACAATGGAAACTAAACTGTCATGCGCATACACCAGCTAATTTTCTGCCCATATACACTGTATACACTCTTAAAAGTACATTCATTCTGAAAGGTCATGTAGACCATTAGGTTTTTGTGTCTGATGGGATTGTCCAATGTAATCTATAAACTGCGTGATTGGATGTTAGAATTTTGATTAAAATCCGGAAGACATAGAGTTTGAAGATTGATGGTCTGTTAGGTGCTACAATAGAATTCTTATTCTTCTGTTTATCTTAGCTTCAAGATGCCAGTAAATCAAGATTACAAAAGGGCCAATGTAAAGGAAAATAAAAATAGGGACATTTAATCACTGTATTAACTTCAGATGAGTATTGATCCTAGGTTTCGCTGTCAGGTGAAGCATATTTTCCTGTGAAATCTTAACCAAAAAAGTATAATACTTAGAAAAGCTCTAGTGGTTTTATTTTTGTTTTGTGAAGGCAGAACTTTTGATAATTCAGCTATATAATGACAAAAAAAATCTGCCTCACCTCACTATGACTAAAGTCGCTAACAGGCTCAAAATATATGTTAGGAAGGCATTTTATTTTTTTATCTATTTGTGTATTCTTGAACTTGCTACCTAACACTTACACTACCTAAAATATAGCTCTCATCTACAAGATTCAAATGAGTTTAAAAAACCACAGCCAGAATATACATTTCAAATCAGTGTTTGTGATGCTACAAAAACCCTCTTATAAAAGCTATCCTAGGTGTTTCACATTTTCAGGTATGAGTAGACGTATGTTTGATTTACCCAATTCTTCCTTGACTCTAAATGCCTGTGGTGTGAATCTTTTGTATTTGGTTGCTTAGCCAATTTGTTTATTCTGTTGATAAAAAAATTATTCACAACAACCTCGACCTGTTGTAACAACCCTGAACCTTTTGTAAATATGGATCATTATCCAGAATATATGTCCATATATATATGTATAAAATTGTGTTATATGAGATTTTGCCTTCGGTCTGTTGAAGAGATGAAATTAAGGTCAGACAAAATTCCCTTACTTAAAAAGAAACAAAAACAAAATAAGAGCCTTCTTTAACCAGAACAGGGATCAGTATATAGTCGCATCTTCCTCAGTTTCATGTGTAGTGAGGTAAAGGGTAATATTAGTAAAACCAAAAATGTAAAAGGTGATAGTGCAAACTTAGATTGTATTTACCTTTTCATTATGTAACCACAGATAGGTCCTTTGTGCAGTAAAAACACTTATATATAGAACCTGTTTGGTATAAATATAAAATGTACCGTAGTGTAATATGTTACAACTAGGTGACAATAGCAAATAAAATTGGAACACTCAAAATTTACAGAGCCATATTAAAGATTGGCTCTGAACTATAGGAGCACTTCACCCACTTATAGGGATAGCTGGATATTGATGTTGTTCCTCCAAAGGACTCAGGAACCAAATAAATGTGGCATCAGAAGGAATTTTATTACAACTGTATATAAAATAACAGATAAAAGATAGTATAAAATAAGCACAGTAGGGGGGTATTTCTATGTGTGCAAGTTGAAGGTAAGACATACTGCACCTGAGGAAGACCATATATGGTCAAAACGTGTTGTTATTTTATACTTTCTTTTATCTGTTATTTTTTTTCAATTTGCATTTTTATTGAGTTTTCAGCAAATACAACCATGACATAGTTATGTGACAGTTGATGTTGAAAAGAACATCGCAAGTCGCAGCTTGCTGTTAGACACAATGTAAAACGTAACATGTATAACGTATATTAATAGTATAAACACTGTAGTCATTGAGGCTCGTTGTGTCATTGCAGTGAAAATAAAACCACAGGAAAGAAAAACAAAAACTATAAAACAGTATGACTAAATATTAAAAAGGCGTCAATGCATGGCAATACAAATAAAATGATGTACTCATTAGATCGTGCGGACCTGAGCAGACTGGGCACGTGGCCAGTCGTTGAGCCTGTGGGTGAGGGGGGGTGGTGATAGGTTGTCGTCCCACAGTTTTGCCCGCAGATGAAGAGGGGAGGGGAAGAGAGCGTAAAGGCCGTAAGGAGGGCCCGGTGTATATAACCCATATGTCACTCTGCTGTGATAGCAATACCCAATTCACCCATGTCTCCGGAAATATTGTCTGAGTGGGTGGGTGTAAGGACATCCTCTCATATATGTAAAATTGTTGTAGTTTGTTCCTGAGTTGTGTAAGTGGTGGGTAGTTTGGCTTTTTCCAGTTGTACACTATTAAATTCCTAGCGGCCAACAAGACTAGCGCTATTAGTTGGTGGTGGGTGTGGTTGGCGTTTGCAGCGGGTAACAAGAGAGGCATGAGGAAACTGTTGGTGTAAAATTTTTTATTACCAGTTGCCCTAATAGTGTATGAATGTCCTCCCACAACGGCCAGATCCCACTACATGTCCACCAAATGTGAAGTAGAGTACCTTCCTCAACCATTAATCTCCAACACTTGGAGAAAACAGTCGGGTAAATTTTGTGCAGTTTGTGTGGCATTAAGTACCATCTGTAGATAAGCTTCCTATGGGCCTCTATGTGCGTATAGCATTTTGTCCATTTGGACAGGCCACTGAGCGCCCGTAGCCATTCAGTGTCTGTGAATTTTGCTCCACAGTCAGTTTCCCACTGGGTCTTGCATGACACCGGTTTGTTGGGTTGCATTTCCAACCAGGCTCTGAAGCAGCGAGAGAGGGCCTTTGGTCTGGTGGGGGCCGCCCAGCACCTGAGCAGTATCAAAGAGGGCGACAAAATCTTCCTCCTGTATCTGTGCTGGATGGGGAGTGGGTGTGCGAGGCCAGTATGCTTCTCACCTGCAAATATAAGAAAGCATCATGGCTTGGTATACCCCATTGTGTCTGTAGATCTGGGAAGGTCTTCATCTTATTCCCCTCTAAAACCAGCCCAAATTGTGTAATGCCTAACTTTATCCAACTGTCCAAGTGCACTGTCTGTGTTATAGCTTTGAGCACAGTCAGCGGGTCTTTCGAGTGGAATTTATATTTATATCCAAACTGTGACATAAAGGTGTCCCACATTTTCAGATTTAGTTTAGTGGGGGGGAGTAGGGTCTTGTTTGCATTACGGAGATGTTTCGGGGTCCACAGGTAGGTAGTTATGGATCGGTCCGAAAACTGGGCCCTCTCTAAGTATTAAGTATTAGACCTTGTGGTGAGTGCAGCGAAGGCAGAAGCTTTTAAGTAAAGGTTTAAATTAGGGAGGCCAACTCCGCCATTGATTGGTGTTTTTTGTAGGAGCGAGAAAGGTATCCTCGGTCTCTTACCACCCCAAATAAATGTGCTGCACGCTGACTGCAGAGAGTGAACCAGGGACCGGGATTGGCAGCATGCGAAAAACAGAGGAGCCGCAGGAGGGTCATCATGTTGAACGTATTGATTTTACCAAACCACGTCAAGTGAGCCGCTTTCCATCGCAAAGCAGCTGTTTTACACATCTGGATCAAGGGTGTATAGTTGCTTTTCACGATGCCTGCTATTGAGGGTGTGATTCCTAGATATGTGAGGGAAGATGCCCTCCGGTCGAATTTGTACGTGTTCCGCAACACCTCCACCTCCCCTCCTGACATCCCAATAGGAAGTGCCTGTGTCTTATCTTGGTTCAGTTTTGTAGTGAGAGAGTTCTCCAAATCTCTTTAGTTGTGACAGGATGTGAGGTAATGCTTGGTGTGGGTTTGAGAGTGCAATGAAAATGTAATCCGTGAAGATAGCGAGGCAGTAGTCCTTCCCGTGCATTTTGATACCCCGTATGTGTGTGATTTTCTCAGATTTTTTGCGCTAGTGGTTCTAGGAAGAGAATGTAGAGCAAGGGGGAGAGCGGGCAACCTTGTCGGGTTCCATTGGATATAGGGAATGTGGCAGATAGGAAGCCTCCGCAGGACACTTTGGCTGCAGTGGTCGTGTAAAGTGCCATGATCCTATTGATGATTGGTTGTGGGAAGTGAAATTTAGCCAGCACCCTCTGCATATACCTCCAGTTTAGTCTGTCAAATGCCTTTTCCACATCTAATGCTAAGAAAAGGCCTGCCCCCCTTTCTCTTTCCAATCCCACCAGGATGTTCAGCATCTTCTTGGAGTTGTCAGAACCTTGCCTGCCTTTCACGAATCCTGTCTGGTCATTGTGTATTAGTTTGGGCAGGAAGTGTGCTAATCTGTTGCTATGGAGTTTTGCATATATTTTTACATCACAATTGAGCAGGGAAGTGGGCATAAAGTTCTTACATAATGTGGGGGTTTTCCCCAGTTTGGGTAGTGTGGAGATATGGGCCAAGAGCAGTTCATTCGGTAGGGTACCCCTCTCTCTGCTATGGTTAAAAAGATTAAGTAGATGTGGAGGCAGGATTTTGTGGAATGTTCGGTAGTCCGTCTTGGACAGGGAGCCGATTAAGGCAGACATTTCTTCCATGCTAAAGGGGGTTAATAGATAGTCAGCGTCTTACAGGCTAAGGGTCGGAAGGTTGAGGTCCGAGAGAAATGTGTCTATCTCTTCAACAGTAGGGAGGGCCACATGTGGGTAATTTTTTAGATTATGTAGTACTCAGCAAATTCATTTGCCACATGTTGTGGATCTAATACTTTTACTCCCCTAGCATTTTTGAGGTAGGCGATTCTGGAGGCCACAGACCGCTTCTTAAGCTGGGATGCTAATTTGGCTTCTGCTCTATTGCTTGAAGCGAAAAAACTGTGCTTCATCTCCTGTAGCATTAGTGTAGTTTTTGCTAGTTCTAGATCTCGAAGCTGTGATTGCAAATCTGTCCCGTTTCGTTTAACCAGCAGTTTATCTGGAAAGCCCCACTTAAATGGGATGGTCGTCACCCATAGTGCCGCTGTGATGGGGGCAAAGGTTTTCCTCTTAAGCATGGTAGTGGATGACAGGTCAGTCAAGAGTTGGATTTGTTCAAATCGCCCAGGTAGAGGCGGGTTCTTCCGTGAGGTTTGCATTATTTTGTCCTATGTGTGATCTAACAGTATATCTGTATCTGAGAGAGCTGGCAAAAATGTCCTGAACATAGGACTGTATGTTCCATAGGTTCCATAGGTGGGACTGATTCCGGGATCCCCCGCAACTGTATATTGTTGCGTCTGTCTCTGTCTTCGTGGTCCGCCACTTTGTCTTCCTGCAGCTTGTGTTCCAGTTCAGAATAGGCCTCTGCCAGGGTATTGTGGGCACTATTTCATCTGCCCGCTCCTACAGTTTTGCCATCCTTTTCCCCCACTAGTTGTATGTCTGAGCGTATTTCAGATGCGATCTGTAACAAATCTGCGTGAAATGGTTTTCGCTGCCATTTATGTCCGTAGAGGTTCCTCGACTGGTTAGTGCTGTTTATGCCGGTTTCGTCACCAGTTGTATGCTGTAAATCAAGTTGAGAACACCGCGGGTTGGAGGAGCTCATTAGGTAAAACTAACTCCTAACCAAGTATTTTGATATTTTATAATTATGTCCAACAACAGAGAAAGGTTACAACCATTTTCAAATATATCTAGGATAAATAGTAAATTAAAATATAGATTTTATTAGTCATTGTTATGCAAAGCCCCCATTTAGAACTAAAATTTCATATGCAGATATATTTGCATAGAAATGTGAAAATAGGAAAAGTGGTAAACCGCACCAGAAAAATTTCAATTGATCATATCATACATACATACATATAGATCTCGGGTAGTACAGCATGTAAAAAACCTCAAAAAGAGATAAGAATAATAAAATAATAGTGCAATATGTTTATATGTTATAAATTTTAAATGGTGTAATCTTAAACAGACTTAATTGCAGATAAAAGGCAAACTCACACTTTGCAGAGCTACTAAGAGCTCTGCTGTATAGCGCCTGGACAGTACAATCTCCATCTTAGGATCTGTAGATGTTAGGGTGTCCAAAACTCAGCAACCATATATATGGGAGAGAAAAAAAAAACAGAATACACAAACCAATGGTACAGTATCAAAAACCAAAAGTTGGAAAAGAAAATGTAGGTATGATCCCCACCAAAGGATATATGGATGTATCAGGAAACCAGCAGCACCAGAAAGCCAGAGGATTGGTTAAAAAAAGCTTCACTTTATTTCACAAAATATATATTAAAAAATATATTAAAACATATAAGATAGCTTCCAGTCCTTCCCTTGATGCGTTTCGCCCGGGTTTGGGCTTTATCAAAATCTGGTTCACTGCTGCCTTATACACTTTTTGGTTTTTTAGTGAGCGCCTAAACTCTCTCTTTTCAGATATATTTGCATATTGTGTGCAATAGGACTTTTCTTATCTGTTTGATGCTCAACTTCCTTTCTATAAGATATATATATATATATATATATATATATATATAAATTTATAATCTGCACTTAATTAGAGCAAGCACAAGATATAAACTCTGGCAGAATTAATGGACAGACACAATGCTGGGTGAATTTTAAGGCAAATGCAAAGTAAGGGGTGAATTTGGGGCATATTCATACTCTGAAATGGATGTTGGGGCAAATCATGGGCACTCTGGCCAGCCTATGGCTACGCAACCCCATACACAGCAAAAAGCAATGCACTGTTTGTTCTGACACATTTCTATCATGGCCAGCATTATGTTTTTCAGCAATTTGAGCTACAGTAGGTCTTCTGTTTGATCAGACCAGACAGGCCAGCTTTTGCTCCTCACGTACATCAATGAGCCTTGGGCGCCCATGACCCCAACGCTGGGATACTGCATACCAGGAACTACCCACAACACTTGCTGTTCTGAAGATGCTCTGAACCAGTCATCTAGCCATCACTATTTGGTCCTTGTCCAAGTCACTCAAATCTTTTTGGAAAATCAAATGTAAAAATTCAGTCAGCTATTCTTTCATGTTGGACTTAAGTTTGAAATTCACTTTGAATTCTCACTTCAGTAAATAACCACGCATATATGCACATACATTCCAGCACAAGAGTTTATTTATGAATTAGGGAATTGTAGAAAATTTACCGGGGCATTTTAGGCCAAAGTAGCAGAGCTAGAACAATAGTAAGCTGTCGATTGTTTTTCCATTTTAGCAAGCTTGTGTTAATTTCAAAACAATTTACTAAAAATGCCATAGTTATGTTAAATATGATACATATATATGCTGTTTAGTGTACTTTGTACTTGAATAAAACCATGTGATTTGAAAAATGCGATTAAAGATTGTGTCAGATTTTCTTGATAAACTGTGTTTACCAGATTGTTCTTATTCTCATCATTCTAGGCATCAATTTTATAAAATAGATCAGCTCTTTAATAATTGCAGCTATCACATACAGCAAATAATGATTTTATATTTGTATTCAAGGGTATAACATTACAAGACTTCCTAACAGCTTTTTAACTTGACATTCGGTTTGACATCCTTTTTGCACAATTTTACTTTCTGTTCATTTGAGGGGTTTTTTTTTCAAATGTATTGATTTCCACATATTTTCCTTGTAAATGTATAAATACATCTGTCAGACAAATAAGAGCTGATTCCATTGCATGCTTTCTACAATGAGAATTGACTTTGAATGATATTTGTGTGAGTATAATTGAATTTGTAATTCTATTGCTGTCAAAATGTCAAAATTTAGATTGCAAATATTTCACACTGTCTATCGATTTTGTTCAGCCAATAAAATATGAAGAATTTCACTGACATTCTAGTTCTAATGTAATTGGAAAGAGATACATAAACTGCAATTTGACTTGAAGAGTTCAGTTTTTCACTGTGCATTTGCTAACTGTGCATTACAGTAGGCTAATGCAAAATGTGGGAGATTTTGTAAGTTGTGGTCAATAGGTCACTTGTACTTAGTGGTGGTTTGGATGGACACAGAGACAAATGAAAAGCTAGCACAATTTCCGTCTGTCTGTCAGCAGTAGATGAATAAGGGATCACCTGCAGCCATGTTGTATGTATGAATGCGGTTGCAAATTTATGTATGTTTTTATATGACTGCATGTCTGTGTGTGTGTACATATCTGTGTTTAGGCATATGCAAGTTTCTGTGTATGTGTGGGTGAATTTATGAATCTAGTTGTAGACGCATGCATTTGTCACTGAATGCACATAGTGTGTCAGTGAATTTATGGATCTGGATTTAGGTGCACATAAGTAGATTTTCATGGATAAATAGGTCCACAAAGTTCAACTGTTCTCTTTCTGAGTTTGGGTTCTGGATTTACCCCAGTTTGTAGTATGCCCCTATAATTAGATGTTTATCTATAATGTATGCCTCTCTGAGGATGTACAGAATAGGCACCTTGTGTGTTTGCTCTGGTGTTTTACGGAAGAATTATAAATCTATTGTAAATAGATTAACCTTTCAGATGGCTAGTAGTATCTTTCCATCTAAAGATGCAGCAAAAATTCTAATTCGATTTTCATTATCTTTTGAGTCCTGACTCAGTTACTGTCACTTTCTTCTTATCAGCAGGCTTGTAGGCAGCTTACTCAATTCCAATTTTAATAAACAGTTGCCATCAATCTCTGCTTGCTCACCCATTATTTCTCAGTAACTGTTTCTCTCTGCATAAGCCTAAATTGGATTAATAACCCAATCTAAGATTCTGAATTTGTCTAAATAACCAGATTGTCTAATCATATAATGTGTGTGCTAAATGTGGGCAAATAGTGTAACCGCAGCTGGTTCCCCTATTTACCACTATAACATCTTAAAGCATAGAACTTAGCAGGGCTAACCATACAGATATCTTAGCCATAATTTTATATAGTCAGTAAGAGATCCTCTATTTAAAATATATAAATAATTGAGAATACAATATAAAATAAGGCTTGTCTTGGAAGCAATAAAGTTTTGTCTTTTAAGATATTTATTGTATCAAAATATAAATATAGACATATAAAATCCATTACAATAATTTATAGCAGAGTTTATAAGATTAAAGTATATGCTTGCAATATCATTAAAATAGAATAACATACCCTCCTGAACCCCTCTTAGTAATTATAAGATGGAGTAGCGTCTGTCTCCAAATCTCTCCTCTCTGTCTCAACATTTAAAAGGTACACATATTTATACCTTTTTTCATTTATGACAAAGTCAAACTACTTTTACTTTATTCATTGTAGGACCTCCCTTAACTTGGCAAAGATACAAGGCCATATCTAAAACGTAAGGGTGCACACGTCATGGGAAATTCCCTGACTTGGGACAAGATGGCTTCCTAAAGTCTGAACATCTTATCTTAATGTTTATACTAAAACATATGGGTGCACACGTCATGGGAAATTCCCTGACTTGGCACAAGATGGCGTAAGTCAGGATGACGTAGCATAGCCTTGAAGATATTATTGCATCACTTGTTTTGTATTAAGCTAAGACAAATTGGCATAAACATATTATGCACTGAAAGAAGGTAAGAGGTTATTGCTTAAAGAAACATGTATGAAAAACAATATGTTCCATTTCTAACACCTTGTCAGTTTGCAATATCTCTTATAGACAAAGTACGCAGTTTAAGAAATACAACATTTCATTCTAAAACTTGTAATATTTGCATTTGCCCATAACAATAGGACATCTTCCACTGTTCCTTAAGTTGCATAACTGGTATGTAGTAACAGAGAGGAGAAGTGCACTTTATGTCCTTTATATTTCTAGCATCTAGGCAGAGAGAGCTTTTGCATACAGGACATGATTTAGTCTGTTTAGGTGATAGTAACCTGATATCAAGGTAACCCAAGTACTCTTTATATATGTGTCATATCAGTGAACTGCAGATAGTGCAGGTGTATATGTGTAGTGTTGGCATTTGAATGTAGGGATTTGTTTGCATGGAGTGTTGGCATTTGAATGCAGGGGTGTATATGCATGTAGTGTTTCTGTGAATGCAGGGGTGTGTTTGTATATCATTTTGGTGTTTGAATGCAGGGATGTGTTTTATATATAATGTTGGTGTTTTAATGCAGGAGTGTGTTTATGTATATT